TCATGAAACTTCTGGTTCAAAATTTACTTTTCCATAAATTAGGTGTGGTTTATCGCTGGGCCATTCCTAAGCATTACTTCCACTAAACATCATCCTGAACATAGTTAACTAGATTTTTTTGGACTCTGACTTTAAATTGTATGTGACTTGTACATAACTTTAAATTGACTATAATCCTAGGTAATTAATTATTTGTTGATTTTACTTTGCAAAACTACATTCTGACTAACATTTATACCATCTCAAATGTCACAAGAAAATTTTTTTATTTCATTCTAAACCTAGAGAAGTTGGTCACTAAGAATACTACATTTAATAATGTCACAGCTCACATTATTCTGTACCAGTATTGGAATAATCAGTATAGCTTCATGTAGCTGTTATAAACCCTTGTTACAAATAACATTGCACTCTTTATATTGCAAGTGATGCATTGACTAAGATTTCCAGCCACAATTTTTAAAATTACAGCAAATAATGCGATTGCAGTTTTTCAAATACTCGTGTGTGTTTTTTTTTTGAAAGAGCTATTGGTGAGTTCACATGTTTGAACATTCTGTTTGGTCTGTCTTGTCCATCTTTAACCAGAAGTTTGGCGTGGTTACAACAGAGTGATGGCTGTATCATAGCCCTGATTGGTTTGCTATCATTTTGTACGTAAGATTTCTCAAGACTAAGTAATCTTTTAAAATTAATAATTTTTTTTAATGTCATGTCCTGTTCTTAAAAAATAACAAGAGAGGTTTTTTAAAATTTCTGACTGTTCTGATGTGGTGGTCTCTCTCTATATAGTGTTAGTTGTGGTATTTTTATGTTGACTGTGTTAAAATTATTTCTGGTGAAAAGGTGCTGTAATTTTTTTGTCAGAAGAATGGTTATGAGTGAGTATTCATCCTTCCATATCCATCCCAGTTTCTCCCCCCACCCTTTTTTTTGTTTTAGGAATGATGAACATCCAAAGCTTTTTTTTAAAAACATTTTACATAATTCTAAATGCATTATTACCGAGAGGAATAAACAAAAAAGTCCACGGACTTTAAAGCAACTCATGCTTATTCTCTCTGCACATTGTTTATATGCTTGGTGGGTTCTGATCAACTGGTCAAAGCTTCAGTATATGTACATTGAAACTGATTGTTACCTGCGTGAGCTGCAAGTTATGATCAACTAGTCAGACCCACTCATTTAAGAAAAAAAGTATGCATGGAGGATTGGATCCAGCCTTTTTTAAAAAAAAAATCATTAAGTGCTTAAAGTTTGCTTGTGGTGGTTTTGTTGTGGGGTGGTTTTGGAAAAGTACTTTCAGATGAGCAATGCTAGAAATCACTAAATTAACCATGATTACATTGTAAAATTTGGGTTGCTAATTCTAGTGTCCATGTTCAGGTTTTAAAAGATAAATTAGTATTATAGTTTCCAGTAATCATTTAAGCCAGTACAGAACTTTGGTGATGCCCACTCATGACTCGCACATTTTAAAAAATCTCCTTCACCAAGCTTCTGGACTATCGATATCACACCACCACCCCTCCTTTCCCTCTACTGGCCATTTTATGCTTTAATTTTGCTTTTGTGTAAATGTTGCAGAGCAATGAATCAATGGTCTATGGGCACTTATTAGCCCTTCTTGGCTGTGGTACAGTTTCAAGTCCATTTAGCTTCCTCATGGTTCTCTGGCAGTTAAAATTAGTCAGAATGAATTTAGCCACTTTTAAATTCAGTTCTTTTGCAAATGAAATTCACTACTTCAGACCACGTATAATGCTTCATATTAGAGGCCTCTGAAGTTTGCAGCTGTAAACCTAATCATTAGAAAGAATTTTTATCGCACATTTAAGTACACTGTTGCTAATATGGATGTACTTAATCCTAATAGCTGGTGGAGAAAGTGTTCTCTTACCCAACAATGACATCCTTTAGTTACAGGAGCACACAATAAAATTAACTTTGCATAATGGTTATTTACAAAAAAATGCGGTGAAACCTTATTGGTTTACTATTTTCATTCAGCAAAAAAATGGTTTAAAACTTAATCCCTTGCTAACAAGGTTTCAAAAGTGCCCTCCCCAAAAAGGTTTGATTGATGGGGAGAATTCTTGAATGTATTTATATGTATCATGCTTTAATAGTTATGTAACCACTGATTTAAATTCTAATGTCTGGATGATTCTGGCAAAAAAACTGACCACATGTTTCAAATTGTAATCTCGATGAGTACTAGAGGTTTGGACCCTTTAGTGTGGGGCTGCTCTATATATATACTTTATCATTGGTTCAATGCTCTTGCTGCAATCCATGTTTACGCACTGAATGTTTTTAGTAAATGCATGACTTTTTTCAACAGTCTGATGTTGTTCGGCCATTGTAAAAACTGATCTACATACTGACCATGTTATATTCTTGCTGTTTATAGTGGATGAAGGATGCTGCTGGACCAATTCCCAATCAGTTTGTGCCGCTAAACACTGACCCACGTGAGTTCAAAGAGATGAGGAATAAGGTAAGACAAGAATGCTCAAAATTAAACACCACTATATTGCTTTTTAATGATATTGACGGGGATAGTTCTTGAAGCAGTCCAACATAAAAGGAAAATTTTAATTTGGGAAGTTCTGGTTAGCACTAAAAATATAGAACTTAGCAAATGTATCTATCTACGGTGTTTCAATTGGCTGTCCAACTGGACTATTTTGGTCAGTTGTCTCAAGCTTTTGTATTTTAAGACAAACTCCTAGCATTTTGTTTTAAGTAGCATAGATAATAAAAGGTTTAAGAATGTAAATTTGGCAGAATTTTTGCCCCTTTGCCTAACAAACATCTGCGAGAGGCACATAACACATAACAAAAACATGAATAAGAGACTGTCTGTATTTAGTATCTGTAAGGAAACGTTCATGCTTATGTTGAGAAACAAAAGTAGTGATTGCTGGAAAGGCTCAGCACGTCTGGTAGGCGGAAAATGAGGTTCCTCCCCAGCTTGCACTGAGCTTCACTGGAACACTGCAACAAGCCAGGCAGAAAGCAGAAAAGACCCTGAGCTTCCAGTTGCCTGCTGCTTTAACAGATCACCTGTTCGCTGCAGGCTTGCTGCAGTGTTTCAGCAAAGCTTGGCCTGAGCTGGGGGAACAACACCTCATTTTCCACCAGGAGACCCTGCAGCCCTTTGGACTCAATATCGAGTTCAATAATTTTAGGGCCTGAACTCTCCCATGTCCTAGTGCCTAACTCTACACATCAGGCCTCGTTATCACATACACAACAACAACAACAAAAACAAAGTTGCTGGAAAAGCTCAGCAGGTCTGGCAGCATCTGTGAAGGAGAAAACAGAGTTAACGTTTCGGGTCCAGTGACCCTTCCTCAGGTTATCACATAATCTGCCATTGCACACTACCTATTGTTAGCCACTAACAGTCCCCATTTACAGCTATTCACCCTCCCAGCTAGATCATTATCCACTCCTTTGTCTGTCCAACTGTTCTTCTCTCTCTTTGGACTTTATCCCACCTCCATTTACTCCTTACTCCCTCCCCCCACCCTATCTTCTGCATATAAACTGACATTTTCCTAGCTACCATCAGTTCTGATGAAGGGTCACCAGACCCGAAACATTAACTCTGATTTCTCTTTACAAATGTTGCCAGACCTGCTGTGCTTTACCAGCAATCTCTATTTTTGTTTCTGATCTACAGCATCCCCAGTTCTTTCAGTTTTCATGCTTATGTTTGTGATTCTGTATCAAACATTGAACTGAGGAGGTATTTTTATTTCATTCCCCAGCCATGCATCCCCTCGTGTCCAGATGAGGAAATATGGCAGCTCCCACGTTCCCACACAATGCTTTCATGCTCCTGAGTGTTTCTATGTTAAGCAGTTTGGGTGCCTGGGTAATAAAGAAATGACCACTGTAGTCATAGTATATTTCAAAATTTGAATTTGGTCAGAAGATACTTAAATGTAAACTAATTTAAGTTCTTCATAAGAACCTCAGTGCTTTCCAAGCCTTTGGCATTAAAAAGTGGACATTTTCTGTAATGCTCACCAGACAATAATCTGAATTAGCCAATACCATTCAATGAACATACAAAAATTGGAGCAGAAGTAGACCATTTAGCTCCTCAAGTCTGATGATCATGGCTGGTCTACTTAAATTTTAAATTCCACATTCCCATCTAACCCCAATTACTCTACACTCCCCTGCCTAACAAAAATTTATCCATGTCTTAAAAATATTCGATAATCTGACTTCTGCTGCCTTCTGAAGCAAAGAGTACCAAAATTGGCGAGTCACAAAAGGGTAACGTCAATTTTAAAACTGTGCCCCCTTATTCTGACCCACGAGAAAACATCCTTTCACATCCACCTTGTCAAGACAATTCAAGATCTTACACACTTCAATGAAGTTCACCCCTCATCCATCTATACTCCAATACAGAAAGGCCCCGACTATCCAACCTATCTTTAAAAGACAATCTGCCCATCCCAGACAACAATCAAGTAAACCACCTCCAATACATTTCCATCTTTCTTATAGAAGGAGACTAAAGCAAGGTACAGATTTCGGGATATCATTTCACCAATGTCCTATATAACTCAATCATAGCATTCTTGTATGTTAGTACTGGAGGAGCTTCAGCTGTTTTTATTTTATTGCCTCGTGGAACGTGGGCATCACTGGATGCGTCAGCATTTATTGCCCTAGTTGCCCTTGAGAATGTGGTACTGAGCTGCCTTCTTGAACCGCTTCAGTCCTTGTGCTGTAGATAGGCCCGCAAAGCTCTTTGGGAGAGAATTCCAGGATTTTGACCCAGTGACAGAGGGAATGGTGATATATTTCTAAGTCAGGATAGTGAATGGCTTGGAAGGGAACTTGCAGGTGGTGGTGTCTCCTTTTATCTGCTGCCCTTGTTCTTCTAGATGAAGTGGTTTTGGACTTGTAAGGAGCTGTCTGAAGATCTTTGACAATTTTCTGCAGTGCATCTTGTAGATAATACACCCTGCTTCTACCGAGTGTCCCTGGTGGTAGAAGTGGATGTTTGTGGATGTATTGCCAATTACATGGGTTGCTTTGTTCTGGATGGTATCAAGCTTCTTAAGACAAGTCTAGTCAAGTTTCTGGTCATTGTAAAACTCCAGGATGTTGACAGTTGGAGTTTCAGTGATGGTAACACCATTGAATGTCAAGCTGCAGTGGTTAGATTGTCTTTTATTGCCTATATTTGTGTGACGTGAATGTTACTTGCCACATGTCAGCCCAAGCCTGGGTATTGTCCAGGTCTTGCTGCATTTAAACATGGACTGCAGCAGTATCTGAGGAGTTGCAACTGGTGTTCAACATTGAGCAATCATTGGCGAATATCCCACTTCTGACATTATGATGGAGAATCTTATTGATAAAGCAGCTGAAGATGGTTGTGCCTAGGATACCTCCCTAAGGAACTCCAGCAAAGATATCCTGGAGCTGAGATGACTGACCAACAACCACAACCATATTCCCACATGCCAGATATAATTCCAAACAGTGGTGAGTTTGCCCCCTGATCACCACTCATTCCAGATTTGCTGGGGCTCCTTGATGCCACACATGGTTAAATGCAACCTTCATGTCAAGGTCTGTCACTCTGCTCTCACATCTGGAATTTACCTCTTTTATTCATGTTTAAACCAAGGTTTTAATGAGGCCAGGAGCTGAGTGGCCCTGGCAGAACCCAAACTGAGCATCAGTGAGCAGATTATTGCTAAAAAGATGCTGTTTGATACCACTATTGAAGACAGTGCAATCACTTTTACTGATGATCAGGAGTAGACTGATGGGTGATTATTGGCCAGGTTAAATTTGTCCTGCTTTTTGTGTAGAGGACATACCTGGGCAAATGTCCACATTGTCAGTTATATGCCAGTGCTGTAGCTATACTGGAAGGTTCAGGAACAGAAGTCTTCAGTACTATTGATGAAATATTATCAGGCCCATAGCCTTTGCAGTATCCAATACCTCCAACCATTTCTTGATATCATGTGGAGTGAATCAAATTGGCTGAAGACTGGCATCTGTGATACTGTGGACCACTGGAGGAGGCTGAGGTGGCTTATCCACTCGACATTCTGACTGAAGATTGTTGCGAATGCTTCGGCCTTATCTTTTGCACTAATGTGCTGGGTTCTACCTTCATTGAGGATGGGGTATTGTGGAACTGCCTCCTTGAGTGAGTTGTTTAATTGTCCACCACCATCGACAACTGGATGTGCCAGGACTGCAGAGCTTAGATCTGATCTGTTGGTTATGGGGTTGCTTAGCTGTATCACTTGCTGCTTGTGATGTTTGGCATGCAAGTAGACCTGTTTGGTAGCTTCACCAGTTTGACATTTTTTTTAGGTATGTCTGGTGTTGCTCCTGGCATGCCCTCTGCACTCTTCATTGATCCCCTAGCTTGATGGCAATGGCTGAATAGGTGATTTGCCAGGTAATGAGGTTGCACATTGTGTTAGACTATAATTCTGCTGCTGTTGATGGTCTTCAGTGCCTCATGATACCCGGTCTTGAGTTGCTAGATTTGTTCAAGGTTTGTCCCATTTAGCATGGTGATAGTGCCACATGACACAGTGGAAGGTATTCTCAACGTAAAGGGGCTACTTTGTCTCCACAAGCAGTGTGCATTGGTCACTCTTACCAATACTGTTATGGATAAATGCATTTGCAGCTGGAAAATTGAGAAGGTATGGTCAAGTATGTTTTTCCCTCTTATTGGTTCCCTCACCACCTGCTGCAGATCCAGTCCAACATCTATGTCCTTTAGGACCTGATCAGCTTGATCAGTAGTGCTGCTGCTGAGCCACTGTTGGTGGTGACCATTGAAATCACTCCCACCCAGAGTACACTTTGTGCCCTTGTCACCCTCAGTGCTTCATCCAAATGTCATTCAACATGGAGGAGTACCGATTCATGAGCCAAGGGAGGATGGTACTTGGTAATTAGCAGGATGTTTTCTTGTCCATGTTTAATGCCATGATACTTCATGGGGTCCAGAGTCAATGTTGACAGCTAGCAGGGCAGCTCCCTCCTGATGTATACCACTGTGCTACCACTTGTGCCGTATCTGTCATGCTGGTGGGACATGGCATATCCAGGCATGATGATGATGGTGTCTGGGACATAGTCATATGCGTGGAATCATACCTTACAGACAATGTCAGGGTGATGCTTGACTAGTCTGCATGTCAGCTGTCCCAATTTTAGCAATTTTGATTTAGTAAGAAGGAATTTTCAGGGTCGACAGGGCTGTTTTTACTGTGTTGTTTCCACTACCTAGGTTGATGCCAAGTGATCTGGGTTTAATTTCTTTGTTGAGACTTTCTAGCAATTGATACAACTGGGTGACTTGCTAGGCCGTTTCAGAGGGCAATTTCACATGTGGGCCAGAACAGGTTAGTATGGTAGATTTCCTTCTCAGAAGGACATTGATCAGTCAGATGGGATTTCCAACAATCAACAATGGTTTCAGGG